GGTGGTCAAAGATTTCGTGCAATGGTTTGACTTTACAACAATGGTTTTGGATATATATATATAGCACTTCATAGAATATTTTGTCTTTTATTATCCAACTCAACTGACGAGTTATGGTATTGAATGCAAAGCCTATTGGCGCAGTGACTTGTGGGAAATGATATTGTTTTACATATCTCCAATTTCGAGCTGCAATGAACAAATTAAGGGAGGAAAAAAAAACGTTTGTTTATAGCAACTTTTAAGCACGTTGGTTTTCTAATATTTCGGCGTTTAACCCGAAAAAATTCGCAGTATTAGGTTTTGTTTGCTCGTAAACAGAATAAATCTGTTTTTACCATACACGTCATCATTAAACAATATATTAGTTGAAAATTCGTTATAAAAACAATATTAACGTCTAGAAATATTGTAGTTTATCAACTCACCCGAAGGATCTCAAAGATTCTTTACTATAGAATTTGAATTTTTTAATTTAACAAAGTACGCTATATTTACAACTCACCCGAAGGATCTCAAAGATTCTTTACTATAGAATTTGATTTTTTTAATTTAACAAGTACGCCATATTTATTTTCAAAACCTTAGTTGAGCACTTGTTCCTAAACAAAAAAGTATTGAACATTTAATGAATTTTCATCGACAAAAATTATCCAAGAAAAGACATTAGAAACTTTGACATTTAAACTAAGAAGTAATACTATTTTCCAATGCTTTATAAACAATTCACTTTTTCATTTGCTCTTTGAAAAAAGAGTCTAATTTGTTTATTAGCTAGAGAGAGCTGCCGGATTTACAAGTGACGTTATAATAGGCCTAGAAAATTCTAATTTAACGAGTTGAATTATTACTAGTTATATGGTTTATTTGTAATTAAGCACATAGCTACACAATAGGCTATCCGTGCTCTGCCCACCACGGGTATTGAAACCCGGATTCTAGCGTTGTAAGTCCGAAGACATTCTAGTTTTCTGGAAACTCGCTACAATAAATGGTTTAACCTTGTATATAACAATCTCTAGCCTGTCTCCAACATCAACCTGGAAATGAATATTTCTGTATTTCTAATTAAAATTAAAACAACTACACTATAGTTTCATATTGGAAACAGTAGTATTAATAACACTAGCGTTAAAATTAGGAAATATGCTTCGCTAGGCCTAATCCACAGCGGTATTAATAACACTAGCGTTAAAATTAGGAAATATGCTTCGCTAGGCCTAATCCAATTTATTAATTTTCTGACGACAAAACATTAGCACAATAAATTGTTTGTAATTAAGCACAATAAATACTACTTACGTTTACGTCAGTGTAAACAATAGCTGGTTCCTTGGGTGCTAGAGGTTTTTTCCTTGTTGAAGTTTCTTCTTCGCTGATTCCATTTTCTGCATTCTCTGTTGAATTCTGGTGATCCTGATGCTCTGCTCCAGAGGCTTCAGAACGGCGTGACGTTTTATTCCTTGCTCCTAAACCTTTAACACTCCTGGACTTCGCAGGAGTTGCATTTTGTTCATTATGATTTATATTTTGCGTTGGAGTACGCGAAACCGATTTATTAGAGATTTGTTCGGTCATTTGTTTTGTAATATATTTCGTTTCAATATATCTCTACTTCAAAAAGCAGATTTTTCTTAATAATAATACGAGTTTTTTTAAAAATCGATGAGAATTTTATAATAATTTAATTCCTGAAAGCTGATGATTTCAGATCTTTTACCTGTAAGAAACAAATATGAGCTTCATGGGTAACCATTATGTAGATGACACATGTGTATGATTTAAAAAATGACAAACAGCTGATTAAGTTTGTTAGTTATATGCCTGGTCAACATGATAACGTGCACATCACACGTGGTTGTCAACAAAAGTCTGTTTCACCTTTTATGGACACTCTCAAGTACAACAAACATGAAATAAATTAGACTTTGGAGACAATAAGAAACCAACATAAACTGAGCTTTATCCACTCTCTGATAGCTTTGGACACTCTCAAGTACAACAAACATGAAATAAATTAGACTTTGGAGACAATAAGAAACCAACATAAACTGAGCTTTATCCACTCTCTGATAGCTTTGGACACTCTCAAGTACAACAAACATGAAGAAATTAGACTTTGGAGACAATAAGAAACCAACATAAACTGAGCTTTATCCACTCTCTGATAGCTTTTGACACTCTCAAGTACAACAAACATGAAGAAATTAGACTTT